ATGCTGTGCGAGCGGTTGCTGCCCAATTGGTTCATTGGTGAGTTGCTGAGGAGTTGGAGACGTAAGAACGAACAGGCTGTTCAGTTAGACGGTTAGGCACGACCTACTAGTTGACCACAGTATGTTTGTCACTAGATAGAAGGACGTGAGAAGATGCTACTTTGTAGTGTGCGGTACGAGCAGTACGTATTGCTCTCCTGAACCCTTCCCGGTTGCTAGCTTCCTAGAGCGGTGACTGCAGCCGACGGATAGCAAGCACGTTTCAGGATGGAACCGTGACTCTCTCAATAATAGAAATGCCAAATTCACCAGTCCTTGACTGAAATGCTGTTGTCTCTTAGTTTCGGGGCTCGGTACGTCAAATGGACGGTCACTGCAATGGCGTGAGAACAACTTTAGATGGACATGCCAGACTCGGATGCTGATCATTGCTAGAGCTCAAGACCTAGTAGTATTATGGACGACGACGACGACCTTCTGCCAAATTTAGATTGGAATGTTGAAGTAGGAGCTTCAATCAGCCCTCCGATAAGAAAATTCTGTACAGACAGCAAGTCATTCCCGTATCAATATAAGCCGGGCATGCAACAAGTCGAGAATTGCTTGACTTGGAACCCTTCTTATCAGTCAGAAACTGATGACCATGAGTCAAGGGATGCCGAGGTACCTTTGGAAGTTGAGAGTAGACAGCTGACTTACCGGAATGTCTTGATTCTTCCATTGACAGATATGTAGTTCTAAAGAAGCCGCCAATTGCTGTATCGTTCTTTCGCCAAGTCGTTGCTGCAGTCCTGTTTACCACCATGACGCCTGATGACTCCTCAAACTTGGAGGCAATGTAGATACGAGGAGCCCAGACTCCGGATTCAGTCGGCTAGTTCCGCGACGGAACTTTCGCGACGCCAGGGCAGAGCCAACATATGGATGTAGTATTGGTTCTTTATCAGAGACACTCTAGATAATCTACTCGACGCAATTTTCTAACCCTCCACCGTCCCCCTCCTTACTGACGTGGCATAGGAAAACCCTCGTGGGGGAGAAAAACCTATATGCGCAGCAGGGTGTAAAAGTATGTGGCACCGGATATCGAGACGCAACGAGTGGGACAAGAAAAAGAACAAAACCATCTCTCAAGGCTCATCGAATCCTAGACGGGAGAGCTTGTTGTTTCGCCGCGCAGCAACCACCGTGTCGTCCTGATCCTTCATCCGTCTCGGCCAACTTGGAACTTAGGCGACCTTTTTCAGCTCGACATCGCTACGCAGATATGTGAGCAACACCAACAAATTCTTTATGGCATTGGCAGGACTTACAAGATGAGGGTGGAGTTGGGAGGGATGGTGGGAGGATATCCGCTGTAAGACGGACGCAGTCAGTACGTTGGCAGCGGATTTCGGTTTGGGTTCGTGTGCGCAAGCTTACCGAGCACCGTAGGCAAAGTCGGGGCTAATGTCGAGAGTAGCCTTCTCGCCCACCTTCATCTGAGTGACGCCCTGGTCCCAACCTGCGCAAAAAAGGGTTACATAACGTTGTCCCCCCCGTTTCCTTTCCATGGCGTAGCTGGGAACTGCTATGACATACCCTTGATGACCTGGCCGACGCCAATCTGGACGACGAAATCGCCACGACCGACAGAAGAGTCAAACCTTTGGCACGGGTGGCCCCAGTTAGTCACCTTGTTGGTTGAAAAGGTGAGACTGCTGCCCCCCTTGGGGTCGGCTGGACCTACTTGGCTCCCTTGCTGTCAGGCTTGCTGGTATCCTTCAGCCAGCCGGTGTACTCAATGGTGACGGTCTGGCCGTCGGTGGGCTGAGCACCGGAGCCCTGCTTGAGAGTAGTCTTGGTCACACCCATGATGCTGTTATGACTTGTGATTGTGTTTTTGGAGACTTGTTGCGATGGGGAAAAAATGTAAGCATGGTTGAGAGAAACCTAGGGAAATAAGAGCATGAGTTGAGGTCCAACTTACAAGTGAGTGATTAGAGCTTTCGGCTGCTGCAGTAGATCTTCTTATCTTTCTGATGAGAAGCAAAATACGAGACTAAGGAGGAAGAAGACGAAAAAAAACCAAAAGCCCTTGTCTCGTGAGGTTATAATTCTGACAAAGGGCTTAAGAAAGAGGGGCAACCGGGACTCGTGAAATTCGGACCAATGACGTGGGGCTCCTTGCAGGCACGCGGGGCTGTACGTCACCATGCTTGAACGGCATTGGCGGAAGCGGGGGGAATTGGGGGGAACAGGGCACAATTGCTCTTTTGCGGCCAAGAAAACGTAAAGGGCATCAAACACCTCTCTCGGTTTGGTCACTTGTTGGCTATAGAGACAGACATTGCGGCTGCGATGCTTGTTTGCGGAGAAGAGGAATGTTGTTGACGCGACCAGAAATCGCCCATGACACCGAACCCCTCCCAGCCTCGAACGTTGAAGCTGCTTCTTCCCCACGCTGCCGGACGCAATGGTAACCTGCCATGCAACACACGTTCAGTATGCCGCTCGAGGCGGACGAGATGCTCCCTCCGAAGAAGAGTCTTTCTGAAATAAACCAGCTATATGTCGAGTGCTATTTGATGCAAGTTGGTGCAGGAAACTCACGGCATGTCTTTCATGGGTAGCCGTGGAACCAGAGTCCAGAAAAGTCAATAATTTCATAGACTCGAAAAGTGATGCATGTTTTTCTTTTAACAACTCATACTAATGCCAAGTTGAACGTGGTTTGACTGATTCAAAGTACCTGTTTTCAAGATGCCGTATTCACCTCATATCTAGCTCTGCCGCCGTGGTTGACGGTACGGTACAGAATACGCATCGAATGAAAGCAAAACGGTCGAATTGAGTCGTCTTCCGATACGGCGCCGGCTCCGATTCTTTCAAAGACACCGCCGGGGAGCAACGGAATAGGGATGATTCCGCCTGGATGTGTCACCATGGCCAAAGTAGTTTTTACTTTCTTTTGGAGAAATCGAAAATGGGACCGACTATGGGTAGACACGTGCAGATAGATCGACACCAGCCTCGATAGCCGTCCACATGTACATGTTTACAATGATCCAAGTCGTGCCTGCGCCCAGCCGAGTCGCCTCCAGAGTCCAGAGTCTGCGATAGTTGTATTATGCCAGCGGCTATGGCACGAGGAAACGCAGCAAGCAGTGAACTCGAGCCAAGTCTCGCCAAACCCCGCGAACCCGAGGCGGAAGGCAAGTTACAAGGGCGATATGAACCACGCAGCGGTCTATGCCGCCACAGCAATGGCCGAATGCTTTGAAGCACGCTATTCCAAAGGTAAAACCCCCCTGTAGAAGGAGAGGATGGACATCTTGATGAACCAGTGGACGGAGAAGTAAATAAGGGCGTTGGGAAGGTTATCTGATTTTCTATACAAGTTCAAGTCAGTCCTTGCCTCGAAATGGGCCGTATAAATTTTTACTCTACTTCATAATTTGCCTGAAGCAGTCTTGAAATCGTCGTCGGCCCCGCGGCCAAGCATGGCGTCCCTTGGCCGCTCTGGCAGGCATCTCACTTTTCCATTTCAGTACGTAATCATGAGAAATAGGATGGCCATGATGAGTCGAGCATGTAATCCGTATAATCACCTTGAACGGTGGGCAAAGTCAGCCCTGACAGGACAGGAATGAGGATGCTTGCCGCCAGTATTGGAACAATTCTCTTCTCTCGTGAGGTCACTGGTGGTCTGGCAAGCAGTATCAGGCCCCGGCATAGTCGCCAATGGTGCTCGAAAGTCGCCATGCATGCCGAAGAAGACAATCCAGTCAAGGGCATTGTGTTATTTCAAACTCCCATTGGTTGGGTTGCGATATCCGGATATGCCGTGCTACCTGGGCCCGGGTCCGCGGTCTTGCAACGGCAAGCTGGGACACCCCTGGCCGCCTACACTTGTACTACCACACATCCGGCGAAGAAGCAGACAAAGCATCCAGATGCCCCATGTGGATTTTTCTCGGGGCCCTGGCCATAATGTCGAGTGCTTTGTACACTTGATCCGAGGGGGCCATGTGCCTACGCCTGGCATGAAGCTTCCATCCCGCCGTGTGTATCCCGCCCAAGCAGCCCACGATTAGAAAGAACCAACGGCAGAAGCCCCGGGTGTGTGGGACAATTGGCCTTGAAGCACCCTGCCCATGATTGATTTTGCCTGGTAGTTTTGTGGCTGCTGACAGCCCAGCTATTTGCTCGCCATGCCGTCTCCCATAGCCGGCCATGACGAGGGCCGCCGGCGCAAATCTCGGGGCGTGCATGTTTTATCCTTGCTTGGCTGCCCTCTTGTCGGGCGATTCCAACCTTGTTTGCTTCGCTGTGTTGTGGCTGCAGACGGCGAGGTATTTCGAACGCAGCCCCTTGGTGCTGCCTCGATCATGATTGGTTCAAGTTACATCGTGACGGCTTCAGCCACCTGCAGCAGCAACAGTTTGCTCTGGTGATGGAGCTCGCTGGATTTTCCCCGACTCTCCAACTCTCGATTCCGGGGGCTGCTGCCTGGGCGGCTTGGCTTTCGCGTCCAAAAAAAAAAAAAAAGAAGGGGGCTCAGAGACCCGAGGCGCGTCCTTTGAATCCCGCCCATGGTTGCTAGTATAAGAGGGAGGTTGTCTTCCATCTTCCTTTGAATTCGGCAACAACTTCTCTCCCCATTTAACCAACCCTAAACCATGTAGATCCTCGCCGCCTGGCTGGCCGGATTTCCGAGATGCTGCCTTTTAGACCTCATCAACTCCCGAGGACAACGAACCCTTCGCAATCTCGGCCAGGTATGTGCTTCGCACCCTTCACCAGGGGTCGCTGGATAGCTAACGAGGTCCTCAGTTGAAGAATGGATCAATGACATATATCTTGGCTCATATGAACAGGGCAACGACCCAGCGGTCGACTGCATGTGCCTGCCGATCCGATTGGCGCCAGAATCCAGAATCCGGAGGTTCCGCAACGATGAATCGGGGACGGCCTTTTTGATGAGGCGGAATGTAGATGGTTTCGTTTTGGCTTCAGTCATGATCGTATACGCCTTCCCCTCCATCTCGCACGAGGAAATGGGAAGGGAACATGAGTACATCAATGCGTTGGCCGATCACCATGGTCAAGCGACCATGTATGAGATTGGCTTCCTTTGGGTCGCGCCCGAGATGGCCGTTCTTCTCGCCCAAGACTACGATATGCAGAATATTGTTGCCGCCATAATCTCCCCACTTACATGTTGGAGGATAATGCCTCATCAAACGTTCTCGGTTATCATCTTTTGGGACGAAGAAGAAAATCTTAGGGCCTATATCCCCGACCCCCAAAGCATGAACGGCGACGACCCGGGTTATATCGAGGCAACAAACCTTTCGGAAGTATTCCCGACTTGCAAACAAACTCTTAGCAGCGCATCCCAACAGGAAAGGAACCTAGGGACCACGTTGTTCGGCTATCAAAATGCGTCTGCAGGAGCCGATGACCGAGCGTATGAACTACATGTCCACATCAAGAGATGCAATCAACTAACGTGGCACGCAGCAATATTGGTGCCGACGATTTTTTCACTGATGGCCACCACATGAAGAGAGTACAGAGCTTCTTCAGCACCATACGACGACCGCATCAGAGGCGAGTCAAGATTGCTGTCCTTGACACTGGTCTTGATATCAACCATCCACTCCTGCAGAAATTCGTTCGAAGCAAACAAATAGGAGAGGAGCTCGGCCGTGACTTTACAATGCATCCCCTTGGTGAACCGGATTTGAAAGACAACACCGGCCATGGGACAGCCTGCACCCATTTACTCCTCAAGACTTGCCCTACGGCGGTTGTTTACACCGCAAAGATATCAAATCAATCAACATTTGATGAAAAGACAGCAGAAAGAATTTCCGAGGTAACTCTTTCTTGCCTAAAGTAAGATTATGTCAGTTTGTTTGCTTACGAATTTACTTCTCTGTAGGCAATTCAAACCGCCATTACAGAGTGGGAAGTTGACATTATATCAATGTCCCTCTCTTATGAATTCGAGGTAGAAATCATCGATGAAGCTCTTAAGAATCGTCAGAGGGATAAAAAGAGACCGGTATTATTCTTTGCCGCTTCAGGCAACTTTGGTAAAGATAAAGGTGAACACTCGGCTGGGTTTCCAGCCCGCCATGAAAACGTGATTTGCGCAAGTTCGTCCACATATGAAGGAAACAAATCAGATTTCAACCAGGGACCTGATGATATGAATAGATGGAAGAACTTCAGTATTATTGGAGAGAATCTCTGCGTTGCTTTCTCCGCCGAATTAAATCGCGGAAACTATGAGAAGCGTGTGAGTGGCACATCAATGGCAACGCCCATCATGGCTGGCATAGCTGCTTTGGTGCTTGAATTTTGCAACATTTGGAAAGAACGCGGTGGGAGACCTACGTTGGAAAAGGCTGCCACAATGCAGGGGATGCTGCAAATATTCCGTGGGTGTATGCTATCAAATAGCAATTCCTCATCTCAGCAGGGTCACCTCAATCTTGTTCCGTGGTATCTCTTTGATGGCAGTTCATACACACGCGATTATGCATCAGTAGGGAACCACATTGCGGAGGCGCTGCGGCGTCTTTGAGCCATGGCCCCTATTTCCTTTGTCGGTCCAGGCGATGCTCTGGTTGAAGATTGATTAACAGTAGTACAACTTTTGTCTTTTGGTCAAAATTTTCATATTCTCCGTCGGTGTCCTAGCAGATAAAAATTAGGAAAAAATAAAAAAAATAAAACAAGGAGCAAAAAGTGGCCAATACAGGGGTAAATAATGGCCAACATCATTCAGTCATCCGTTCCTTGTTGTCATAGCCTTCTCCATCAAAAGGCTGATCAGCCACTTTATCTATCTGGAAACCCGTCATCTCGGCAAGCCCAGGATCTACCCGGTCTGCCCAATCTGGCTCGACGGAATGAGTACTACCACGACTGAAGGATTCCAGTGAGGGTTTTTTGAGTATACCCGTCCAGATGATCTCATGGAGCCTGTAGGCAAATACAAACGAAGAAATGTCTGCCACTGATTTATGATTCTCAGTCATGGTATCCCTGTGGCCACCTAGGCCGGTCCTTATGGGTGCTCCCACCAGAGAAAAGTCGCCTGCAGCACCCGCGCCAACGTGGCTGGCTCTAGAAGCGGTTGCGTCCAGACTCACCCCTTCAGCAATCCGCAGGCCAGTCACCATGTACAACCGTGTTTGACCAAACCATGGTTTCTTCGTGGGTACATGGTCGATTTCGAGTAGTTGCTTGGCATAAGAGACAGAGGGCTGAAACATGATGCTGCGTATTTTGCTTATGCGATAATTGGACCTGTCATGGCGGTGGTGGTTTGCGTTGGCATGGGCACCAGCCACAAGACCAGACGCATCGTTGAACAAGGCGTGAAATTTAGCGCCAATGGCATTGGTAAACTGCTCATTGACGTCTTTCCAGCTGGTCTCGTCGCGAAGTGTGCCCTCTGGGACGGAGAGCAAATTGCTGGATACAAGGCCACTGGAGGCATCATAGGGATTGGTCAAGACCTGCCCCAAAGAAAGAGCTCCCCCCAGAGAATAGCTTGGTGAAGTCGTTAGGACCCAATTTTTGGGAGATTTGTTGGAGGCCATGGAGATTAAAGTGTCGTTGTATACAGCGACGCTTATTGTGAGAAGAAAGAAGTTGGGTTCGTTCGCCCTGGGAATGAAGAAGGCCGGGCCCGGCAGGGTTTTTGGTAAATTATTATCATGTTTTCCACCAAATATGATAGAATTGAAGGCCGCACGTACTGTGCCGTGATTGGATTCAGCGTGCAGGATGTGGTGTATGTGTGAGACGTGCAGTTATGCATGCGGAATTGCATCTCGAGACAAATGACCGAGAGTCACCGAGGTCGGCCGTGTACGTAGGTCTGGCTCGGGTTGGATTTCAGTGCTTCCTACAAACGACTTGAATCCATCAGCAACAAACTGTCGATGCATGTTTCGCCGTCTGTGTCCATCCACTTACCAGCAATGCCATCACTGGTCCTTGAACGAACCCAAGCTGGATCTGAAGACACTTGAATAAGGGGGTCCGGGGGTTTTTTTTTTAACTTTATAGCAAAGGAGTGCGTTGTCAAGGCCCAAGTTTAGATGCGGGTTGAGCCTGGGTGCCTATGTAGTCATGTGGCCACATCCGGCCCAATTCGGAAGTAGCTATCAGTAGTGATCACCACCCGCCTCCTACCTGCACGGTTCAAATTTTACCACTGATCAGACTGTACGCGGTGGACTTGAAGAGATTCATCAGGACCAACTCACCAGACTGCCTGTAAACCTCATGGTAAGTCCAGGAGACCAAAGTGGCCCCGCGGTCTGTCATTCAGCTATTTATAAAGTCTATGCCCGCTAGGAAGCCCAGACTGCTTGCGCCACGGGCGACTGACAAAGATATTGCACCAGACGCCACATACTTTTGTGTGTTGGTACCCCCTATATATTGCGACAAAAGGGGCGTTTCATAATTGTATCCAAGCCAGAACACATTGAGGAGTTCACCGACATTGAAACCATTGTTCAGAATTCAAGTACCCATCATGGACGCTAGTTCAGGATGGCTTCATAGCTCCTGTTGGGCGTGGCTGTTGAGCTGAACAACAAAGACCGACTCGCCTTGTGCTGCCGACGCCGTGAATCACTGCAGAACATGTTCTCAAAACTCAAGAGACAAACTACACGGTTCAAAAAGTTGATGAGGTCTACATTTTACCGCGAGGCTATTGCTCAAGCGACAATCGAGCTTTTGTTCGAACAATGATGTCTTTCAGACGCAGAGATGCATGGGCATCAAGCCACACCAGTTCTTCACAGCAAACTATTCATTCACCTCTTCATCAGAGGCGGACATTGCGTGTCAGAAGGCCGCAGTGATGACGGCCTACGCACTCTCTGCCTGCATCTACCATCAAGCATGGATCGGTGTGCTTGGCACCGCCGTCCACAAGCATCTCGCGAGTACAAATACATGGTCACCTCCAGCCTTCTTCCATCAGCTCATCATCATCAGCACACGGCTTTTTCCCTCTTCTTCTCATTTTGCAAGACCAATACTCTATACTCTATCAAAACCAACGGTAAAGCTACCACCCAGCGTCCAACATGGCCCACGACTCCAGCCAGACTGAAGGCTATGCCAAGCTTCTGCATGACGCCGTCCGTCAGGGAGACGTGGAAAGCGTTGGGAAACTTGTATGTGAATACAAGAGGCCGAATGAGCCCTTCGAGGGACGTTTGCCGCTCGTTACTGCAATCCGCAACAAATCTCATGATGTAATCAAGGTGCTACTTGAACACGGCGCCGATGTTAAATTAAAGGGTACATCAGGACGTTCACCATTGGGAATGGCTATAAATATGAAAGACCGGATACTTCTTGAAACTCTCCTCAGGTATTGCGGAAGCCTCGCAGATCATGCTGATGAGCATGAGCCTGAGCCGTTACTCTGGAATGCTCTGGAAGCGAGAGACGAAGCGATGGCCCTCATGCTAATTGAGCATGGTGCGGATATTAAGCAGAGGAGAAATGCCTGCGAGTATTCGCCCCTGATGGTTGCCTGCCATGGCCGGCTTCCTCGAGCAGCCCAGAAACTTATTGAGATGGGCGCCGATGTCGAGGACCGATCGTGGGATGGCATGTCCCCTCTGATGGTAGCCAGTCAGCGCTCGGATCTCGCCACTGCTAAGAAACTAATCGACTTCGGCGCCGACCTTGAGGCGAAGAAGCCAGCCGGGGGGTACACGGCGCTGTACTATGCCGTCTGGTATCGGCGCCCCGACATGACGGAGCTCCTGGTCCGCGAGGGCGCCCAAGTCAACCAGCCCTTGGCCGGCGGCTTCACGGCCCTGTCCGTCGCCGCCGACAACAACAGCCCAGAGATTGCGCGTTTCCTGCTTGCCAACGGCGCCGACGTCAACCGTGCAACGGGTTCCGTCACCGCATGCATCTATGCCGACGGCCTTCACGTCGACGACCTTCCAGCCGACGCCCTCCTCACGCCCTTGCACCTGGCTGCAGAAAACGGCCATGCCGACATGGCGAGACTTTTGCTCGACAACGGCGCCCAAGTCAATGCGGCATCAACCCGCGGGTACACGCCACTCATGTTGGCTGCGCACAACGGCCACGCAGACACAGTGAGCATCTTGATCCGCAGGGGCGCCGACATCAGCGCGCACGCCGCCGACGGATCCAGGGCGCTCTCCATAGCCGCCTTGTTCTATGACGGGCTTCTGCGCCGCGAGGTCAAGCTTGGTAGACCCTCGACAGCCCGCCCCCGCGCCTCGAGGTTTGGCTTCGAGAGAGACTGCGAACAACCGCCCCGCCAATACGAGAGAGTGATTGCACTGCTCGCCAAGGCTGGCTACGACAGCCACATGGAGACATGAAGTTGAAGCCATTCATGTTTTTCTCACCCGTCTTCTTTTTTGACTTTACATGTCCAAAAACACTGGCTGTGTGAATCCCGCATCGGAGGGCCTCACTCGCACACGCACACGCACACGCAGACATAGATATAACCATAAACAGGACAAACAACAACAACAACAAAAAAAAAAAGGGGGGGGGGGCCATGTAATTGTCTAGAATAGCACTGTTAATTTATCTGGTTCCTGGTTTCAATGCCCAGTGCCTTTGTGAGTCCTTGCGCGCCGCTTTTTCTGCCCGGCGCCCCGAGCGCTTAGTTCCTGATTGTGCGCCAACTTTCACATACTTAAGTACGCATCGGACAATTCCTCCAAGTGGCAGGGGCAAAAGCCCAAGTCCCCAGTAAAGCGACGTCCAGTTATCCAGTTTTACTCGACACCTTTTCCTTCTTCTCAACATTCGTCATCATTCATCATGATACTCGTGCCTCCCCGGCCCACTACTCGCCCACCTGCTACTTACTCCGCAGCCTTTTTGTGTCTAAAAGAAGAAACAATTAGAGACAATGCGCTAGAACAAAAAAAAAAAACTCCCAGGAGCACTTACTTGGACACTACTCTCTCGATGCCATCCAACCCCATGCGCAGCACGTCCATTCTTGGGCCGTACGAGAAACGCACAAAGTGGTGGCACGGGCTGTCAAACAGGTCACGGCGTCGCGAGGGGTTCAGATCGAAGAAGATGCCGGGCACAACAATGACCTTTTCTTCCAGACAGGCTTGGAAGAAGTTGAGCCCGTCGGCGATGCTTTCGGGGAGGCCGTCGAGGTTGAGCCACCTGGCTTTCCGTCAGTTTCGCCGACATTCAATCTGGTGGTGAAATGGGGCAGACAAGCAACACGTAAAACATACAGGTAGAATGTAGAGTCTGGGACGTATTTAATGACAAAGCCCATCTCACGCAGGCGGCGGACAACATAATCTCGCTTGTCCTATCAGGCAGTAAAAGTCAGAGAATCCCGTCCCCAGAACGGCACGGCAGAGTTTGGGCACGTACACGGAAGTGGCGCTGCAAATGGACCATTTCATTATGCACAAGCGTTGGGTCCAGCATGGGAATGGCGGCGTCCTGGAAGGCGTGGCACGCGCCGCCGTCTAGATAACTGCCACAGGAGCCAATGCTACAGCCGTGTTAGTCTGAACAAATTTTATCGTGCATCCCTGTAAGGTCACATACGCGGAGATGTATTCTAGAGACCATGGTTAGCTTCCAACGTTTTTCCAAGCCGCACCGGGGACAAGAGTTGAACCACGCATACCCTTGGGTCCGAGAATCCACGCAATCCGCCACCCTGGCAGTCGGAATCGCTTGGTAAGACCATCGATAATCAGGACATCGTCCTCGTCGACATCCTCCACGTTCTCGGCGGCAGAAATAGTAGTCCCGTCGCAGTTGCTCGTGTAGTTGTAGCCCGAGTAAAACTCATCGCTGATCAGAGTGGCGCGGCCGCGGCAAATGTCCTGGATCTCGGCCAGCTCGGGGTTGGCAACGACCCGGCCGGTAGGGTTTCGTGGATTTGAGGTGAGAATGACCGAGGTGCCGCGGGCAATTTCCTCTGCAATCTTGTCCGGGTGGATGTGGTAGCCGTCTTCCTCCGATAGAGGGACGGGGATGGCTGCAAACTGTTTGGCCCGACGGTTAGTATTTCTCCTGCTTGGTGGCTGCAAAGAAAGAAAGAAAAAGAGGTCAATTTCCCCGTGCCGGTCAACGCACATTCTTGAACAAACTCAACATTTCGTTATAAGCCGTGTAATCGGGCAAGAAGAAACTCAAATAGGAATTGCCCAAGACGGCGGCAATTCGAATCAGACCCGCACGGCCGCCAGGCACAATGGCCACATTCTCCCACGTGTACTGGCTGTCCTTGCCCTTGCGGTGCATCTCATTGTACAGCTTGGCAACGGCCTCTCTCAAGGGTCGAATACCGGCAGTTGGACCGTACTCTCTCGCGGCGACAGAAATGTCAATGGTCTCGGGACGCTTGAAGCAGCCGGCAATGTCATCCTCGACCTCGGGGGCTCCCTGACCCAGGTTCGCCCAGGAGTCAGGATCTTCGAAGAAGCCAAGCTCGGCGGCGCGCTCGGTGCACCAGATGACTCCGGTGGACGCTCTGCTGGCGTCGAGACCAGCGTGGGGGAGGTGGCCTTCGTGGGCGTTGCGGAACTGACGGTGGACTTTGGATTGAACCTCTGAGCAGAAGTCAGCGAATTGCTATCCCCATGTGCTTCCACTTCCGCTTCCTTGCTGTCCGGGGATGCTGTCGTGGGAAAAGGGGGAAAAAAGAATCTGCTGAGAGCGAACGGAGGAGACGCAGAATTGCGGGGGTGCTCGAGAAGCTCACACCGGCTGCGCCTAATTTTTTTTCCCCCTTGCCACGACAAAATAGACAGAAGAAGCGCAGGATAATAAGAAAACTCCTCGGCTAGAGAAGACGGCCGGATTTAGAGAACTGCGTCAGGCTTACCATTTGCGCCAGGCTCGGCGTTGCTGAAGCGACGAGCTCTGAGCTTGGGAGCGCCAGTGTGGCGGTTGAAGGAGAACTTGCGCCCGCCAAACATGCTGACCCAAGGGCGTCCCGTCCTGCTTTGAGTAGAGTGAATCGATACAGACAGGCAGCTTCGCCTGGGAGAGAGAATAGGAGGAAGAAATCTTCCAAGAAGACAACGAACTAATAGAGGAGGACGAAAGGGTCGAGGTGGGAGACGGGGATAGGACGAAGAGCTTGAGAGTAACAAGTGGAGATCTCGCGGCAGTTATATGTGGCACCTGGGACTTTGGAGTCGAGTCGAGTCGTGCACCGAATGGCCCCGAATGGCCTCGTCACTGGATGCACTTGGCCCGTTGCTTGCTTGCGGGCGGGGGAGCACTTGGGTCACGCGAGGCGGCGAGCTGGACATTGACAGTGAGGCAATTCTTTGATGCAGCGCCTGCAACGAGAAATCCCGACGCTGGGCCAAGTTTCCAGCATTTCCATGTCCAAGGTGAGCATTGTGGCTGTAGCGTGGTCCCTGAGACGCTCGCCCGGAACTCGGCACGTCAGACGCCCCTCACGTATCATGTCTCCCATCTCACACGTGTTGACGCGGTGAGGTTTCAAACATGTCAAACATTGAATGCTTGAATGACTTGAATGTTTAGCAGCGTTGCCCATCACGGCCATCGAATGCAGGTGCTCAAAGAAGCGGTGTCGTCGACCCCATTTCCATGCATCCAAGTTGCAGGAATGTACATACAGTACTACCAGATGTATTTATGTACACCAGACCGTTGGATACAACATGAGTGCCCCTGTCCCCTGTGCCCATGTCCCCTTTCCCACTGATCCGTGATCCACAGACCACCTCGGGTTCCGTGGGGACTTGTATAACCCTAACCCTAATCAGCATTTTCGACTGCTCATCTCAACTGCAGGAAGCGGCCGAGAGATGTTACGGCTTTGCCATGTAATACAAACATTACCGGCATTGGCATTTCCTTTCAAGTTTGAAAGTAGATTGGTATTAATACTAACATGTCTCTCACGAGTTTTATCCAAAAGAAAAAGAAAAAAAGAAAAAAAGGCAACAGCCCCATTTTGGCGTAGTGTTATTATTAATAGATTGATGTTGAATCTGTCTTGCGAGATCCATCTATTTATTATTTATATGCTCGTCCTGTCAGCAATCAAAGTCACTAACTCCTAGACACAGCATTTTTTTTAAAGGCCTCAATTCCATAGCAAATGGACTTGACAAAGAACCGATTCCCCTGTTCAAATTGATCCCTAGCTACCATTCTTAATGTCGTCAGAAGCGATATCCAATCCTGGACTGTATTACAAGAACCTCCGCTTCATTCATTGCTCTAGCGGCCTTGTCCTCAAGTGGGGCCGTGTCCTTTCAGTACTAGTACTTTGGGGTCGTAGGTCGAACAAAAACAGAGAAAAACCACAACGCACTGGCCATTTCGCCAGGATCCAATTCTATTTTTTGCATTCGTGTTCCATGTGGCATGTCAGATGTGACTCAAAGTTGGCGTTGGAAATCTTTCTTGCTATCCAGTACAAAAAAGAAGGGATATTTATAGGCTCCTTTATAGTACTTGTACACTGCTTCTAGGCGCCTTCGTTTCAACAAGGTAGAGCAACGCCGACATCTGCTTACATTGTCCCATCACATGTGCTGTACAAGGAGGGACAAGAACCGCGGGCCTCGCCAGTTCCCTGCCCGTTGCTTAAGTACATGTACTTATTTACAATACGGCTGCTCCGACCATTGGCCAGGGTTCCACGGCCGCATACTGATATGGCCAATGCGTCGTCGATGCAAAAGGGCAGCCAGCTTGTTTGTTCTCGTGGTCGGCAATAACGCCCCCCTTTCGCGGTATATCCGGTGAAACGACACTGCCAGGGCACTTGCGCATTGGGCCGCCGATTAGGTACTTAAGTACTTAAGTAGGTACGCAAAATCGGCATCGACATGCCGTCGTGCTACCCAAAAGCTTCTTGTCCCTCCCCCCTTCTTCCGTGCTGCATAACGTCCCACGCGGCGGGCGACAAGTCTCACTGGGCGCCGGCTCAGCAGCCAAGACGGGAACAAGCCATCTGCCAACATTGAACCCAGCTATGCATGTACTACCGCGAATCTCTTGTACTACGGAGTGGCCTGAAGGCGAGGTGAGTCGTGAGTCGTGACCAAGCCAGCCGTTCACCGGGGGCCGAGTGGATCCCATCCCCCAACCTCACCTTCATTTCACCTCCATGTCATTACGCAAAAATTCACCAGACACCGTCAACACCAGAACAGCCTGGCAGCCCTTGCAATTCCATCCAGAGACAAATCACCGCCGCCGGGCTCTCAAAATCTCACAACACCGCGCTCGTTCCAGCAGCAAGGGACAAAGCTCTGCTCAAGCAATTTCCTCACAGCCCTGGCCCCTCACCCTCACCTTTACCAAACAGGCTCAACCTCACATCACCAACAGACCATACATCGGCATCACACCGCAGGAACATGTTCCTATTCTCACGCCTCGGGCCCGTAATCAGAAATCTCCCCCTCGCCCAAGCCATGTCCGCAGCCAACACCACCGGCCCCTCGCCCACCTTCTACTCCTCGTCCTCGTCGCCAGAAACGCCGTCCGCTCCATCACCAAACCCCAATGGCCGCGCGCTCCCCGCCCCCGGAGACTCCGCGACAACCCTCGACGTCTCCGGGGACGGCACGACCGTCAAGCTAGACCACCTGGGTCCTCTTGTCGTCAACGTCGACGGCACCTTGTCCCGCATCTCGAACTGGTCCGAGATGGCCGAGGTGGAGAGGCAGAACACCCTAAGGGTGCTGGGAAGACGGAACAAGCAGCGGCTGGAGGCGTTGAGGAAGGCTGGCAAGGAGTGAACTAGACTTGTAACATCACATGCTTGGATAGATAGACGGGGGGAAGAGGGGTTTTCCCTCGCTTTATATATATACCCCAAACCTTGAAGAAACATATAAAGCGAGGGGAAAATAAGCCTACAAGTATCAAATACGGTTATAAAATGCGAAATAAAATGCTAGATACAAGGCTAGCTTTACTTACTAGAAACTATAATTTACGCCCATCTCACGTCAGACAAGTAGCCTCGCGTAAGCGCTAGGCTTACATGAGAGTAATAAAAACAACATAACCAATGCCATGATTCCGGAATGACCAGCTCCATGCACGGGGTCAGCACATCCGACATGGCAGGGACAAGACCAGGCGGCGAATTGAAACGGCATTCGAGAAGTGATATGAAACCAGACTCGACATGATTGACACAATAACAATTCTCGACCTCTCTCCCGAAATCCCCACTCCTCCGGAACATAGAGCCAGGGTTCCCCGCCGTCCTGAAAATACACCATCGGATAAACAGGCAGCAAGACCTGCGGCCATTCACACGGCTGTAAACGTTCAACGGATTCAATTCATATCTAGCCAGCCATTTCTATATTCTCCATCGTATATAGATCATCCGCATATATCAGGACAGACGTCTCGCTTGTCCAAAACAGTAGCAAAGCCTCCACCCAGATTCCTTTACAGAGTCGTAAAGTTGATAAAACGCCAGAACCCAACAGGAAAAAACGCCACCTGACGCGGTCGTTGCATCTATACGCGCGCCGATACAAGTCATCACATTATCATCCACTTTGACAACTAGGAAAATGCCTCTACTCTACGTCACCGCTCTTCCTTGATGTCTTCTGTGGTAGATGACTCGGCACTCTTGGACTTTTCGCTGGCATGCTTGGTGAACTCCTTCCATAAAGCAGTAATGTCGTCGCTGCCCTCGTTCTTCTCGACCAGGAGGTTCTTGAGCCACTTGTTCTCGGTTTCCAGCTGGGCAACCTTGTTCTCCAGGGCGGTGACCTTCTCGGTCATCTCCTTGGCGGACTTTTCGAGAGCCTGCTCTCGCTGCTTCTTCTTGATTCGGAAGCGGGCGCTGGCGGCAGTGTTTCGCCGCCGCTTGTCCTCCTCGGCAGCGACGCGAGAGGCGTCCTCAAAGTTCACCTGCTGGGGAGCGGGAGTAGGGGCGGAGACCATGGCGTCGGGCTTTCGCTTATCGCCAGCTCGTGCATTGCCCTGGCGGAATTGTGGCTGCTGATGAGGAATCTGAACCTGGTGGTTGGGCTGGAGGGGCTGGAATCCCTGCGCCGAGTCGGGGAAGGCATTCATCTGTGGGGCGGCAGCATAGGCGCTGTTGAACTCGGTAAAGTTGAAGTCACCTGTTGGAGGCAATTGCAGTCAGCGCAGATTCACGTAGCATGTCAAGGCATGTCTTTGTGCGTGGTTTAAATGGCAAAGGCAAAGTCCAGGCAAAGTCCAGGCCACGGCCATCTCGGGGGAAGACAGCGGCAGTCCTTAACAGGCAGGCTGACCTGCAGTGAGGTCGCAGTCTGTGACGATAGCCGTTGGTGTGGATGCCAACCGGATGGCGGACCATGTGCGCGCGGACAATCACGAGGAATTGCGCCATCGCTGGCCATTTGTCATCGAGAGAGGCCCCCCGTCATGGCCCCCCACATCTACCACATGAACCACCCCAGAGTCCACGCCAGCAGGGCTGGGGGAGCAGCGTCGTGCAGAACGGCGGCCAAGGGGTGGTTGCGAGGGCGTGGGGGGATTGCAGAAGAAACAAGTCGTGCATATTGTGTGATTTGTGCATTGGAAAAGCCATTGTGCTTCCTCCTCCTTGTCCCAGTCACCCCGCCTTGAGATCGATCGAGAAAGGCTGGACGAGCAGTCGTCTCAAAAGCGCACGGCCAGGCCGACACGGGAGTCGGGGAAACCAAAAAACGACTTGAAATTGAAAATAAAAAAAATTTACTCACCGGACATAAAGTCTAAATTAGGCATATCATTTATGGTCGTCTGGGCGGGGGTAACGTCGCCGGACGTGGTCGAACCATGTCGTGTGGCATCTTCGACATCCACCTTGACAGGCTGGGCCTGGAAGTCGGTGTTTTGGCCAGAGTCGAAATCGAAAAACTGCGTATTGGTGAAGAGAGCAAGGTCATCTTCCATGTTGAAAGCGTCCTCGGTAGGGCCCGTGGTGTCCTGGGGACTGATAGTGTTGAGGTCGCGAAGGTATTGCGACACGTTGGGCGCGTGCCTCCCGTTGTATGTCGACATTATGGCGTGATCCTTTGGTAAGGCGAGTCACCAATGTTTTGTTTGCTGTTTGCAGGGCCGGCGAAACCAAATATAAAACGGCTGGTAGCGCGAGGGAAATGCAAATAGCTGGTTTGGATGTCGTGGCCGAAGAAGCGTTCTTTTCCGCTGCGCAGTCCGACTCGACAGGTGGCAAATGAATGGTCAGCCGGAGGTGGTGAAGCCGGTGGTGAAGCAGCGTTCCCAAGACGGCGATTGAGGCAAAAGTCGGAAATCTCGCGCGGAGAGAATCGAATCGTCAATCGTCAATGTACGCTGATGCCGTGCCGTGTTTTGCAACGACAAGAGCAGGACTCGTGGTGATGGTGGGTGCAAGTTTGACGGGGAACTGCCGCAGCGGGCGGATTATGAGTCGTGCGAGATTTGTCGTGTGGTCGCGGGCGGCCAGCCTGAGCCAGGCCGAGGGGCAGCCGAAGCATCTCCGCACGCAGCGACTTCGTCTCTTGTCTGGTTGCTCCGGACTTCACCCACTTCAAGCACTCGTCGCTGCTGGCTGTGGGACGCACCAATGGCTGATTAGCAATCATGTAGTACTCCGTAAACCAGAGGCCCCATGTACCCCCTCAAAGGGCCCACGTGCCACCAATCAGCACGGCGCTTTGCATCCATGGTTCAGCCATGCGCACCAAAACGCCCACGCCTCCCAGACCTTATCTTTGCAAATTTCTATTACTCGGCCAAATGTCTCGTTCCGACCAAGACAACTGTCGCGGTAGCATTAGCGCCAGAGCCGACCCATTATGGAGCTACCCACTATACGGAGCAATTCGGGCTCGCTGCCGCCATGACGCCCTAGATCCAACATCAATCCGTCCATCTGACTGACCGTTGGCGTCTAGTATCGATAATCGACCCAGGCCGTTTTTTCTCGCTCTCCTGGCATCACGGCTGTAGCAAAGCGACGTCACAGTAGAATAAATAGCGAAAAATATCAATCCAATGGATCCGTTGCAGCATCGACTCCTCGCGACACCCGCCAACGACAGGCTCCCGGGATCTTGACAACTCTCGCAGGAATTGTTCCATGTCCAGCTCTGTCATGATTGGCTACGCGCCCAGACTGGACCCTGCATTGTCGAAGAACATCGTGAGCTGCCCCGCAAGCCGAATGGTGTGGTACAGACATGCACACGTGAAGGCCGGAACCCCAATAATGCCCTGCAGAGATGGCGACAGATGAGACAAGTACCAGAAAAAGAAAACGAAACCATGGCAGCTGCGACGATAGCCGACCATGCCAACTTAAAAAGCAAGGCACAGCCAGGTGTATGTATTACTTGGGGATCTCCTGACGCGATATGCGCGGCCGTCTTACATTGCCACCTTGGGCAATGGGCAGGCTCGGGTTGCCTAATGGGTTCAATTCCTCCAGAAGCAGCTGAAGTTGCAGCGTCTTGGAGCTAACACCTTTTTTTGTCGTTTGAAATTAATTATGACCTGCGTCAAGTGTGTGTGGCCTCGCCTCTGCAGAGTTTGCCGCAGCATGGTAATTGGTCCTTGGCACAAGCTTCAACCTCACCCAGATGACCATGCACCGATATTAACTGTGCCGTGACTGGCTCGATTGTCTAATGTCTTTGTGTAGTAGCATGTAGTGTATTGCATCATTCGTAAGTTTGATTCTAAACTGTTCTGGGCTTGAGCATGTCTTATTATCATCATGATAGGAGTTGCAGCGCCGGCAGCAATTGAACCATGTCTTCTCCTATTCCAACAGAAACGCCGACGCTTCTCTGGCTGATCTAGTAATAAGAAGAGCAATGTCCGGGTAATTTCAGCCGAAGAAACAAGACGGACTGATTTCCTCGATGCCTGAAATGAGACGGGACAACCCCCATGATGACCTGTTCTCGGCAATGTGGGTGGTGTGTCCTCCTCCCCTATGGCGTGATCGTTGCTCACTCATTTCGAAATTTCAGAATGTCAGCGCATACTTTGCCGTCAGCGCATCTTAGCAACGCCTTGCCCGGCTTCCATTTCCCCTCTTGCCTCGAAAAGGTGATATTGCTCAACTCTCGGCCGCTCTTGAATACAAACAACCAAGTGAATAACACCCTCTGGATATTAAACTGCCGGTACCGCGAGGGGGTAAATGATGACTTTCACGAAGCGGCCGTCAAACAGGTAAGAAATTCAATGGCACAATTTCAGCCATGTGTGCGGGGTTTTTACTCATGCCTAGCTTTGGTCAGACGACAAGCCTCACCAAACATGTCGGAATTCTAATCGTGATGCCTTGGACCGGGAGGTTTTCCCTTCATACCGCCTACTCATATTCGGTTTATCTCAAGAATCCCACGTTTCCATTATTTCCTTTACACATGGCATGATTCTATTCCATTCCTCTACCCCGCCTTCACAAGATTCAGTATGCTCGCCTCATGGGTTTCCTATAATTGCTACTAGCGTCCTGATGTTCCTCGTTTCCATATCACCGCCGGATCCAATCCGCGTCTCGTAAGCAGTGTGGCTTTTCTCCGTCTTCGGTATATCTGCTCTTTAAACCCGTCAGGGGCCAAGTTACCAAACAAGTGTGCTCAAGTGAAGAGCAGGACACGTATCGACCAAGTGTCGTCAGCGCCGCAACTCAAAGAGACAAGGTATCAGAACAAGCGACGATATTCCGCAACATCTCAGTGGGGATCCTCCAAGTGCCAGTGCCGGGTAGGCTCAATTCTCTGGTGGCAGATTGATAAGTGCGTTCCATGCAGCACAAGATGTCGTCGTAGGTGGTCTAAATATCAAGCACGAATAACAGACGCCTGTGGGATTTGTACATAGCAGATGAGACTCGTTACGCCGTGCGCCGCCTCATCTACCAACCCATCTGCCAGGGCAGGGGATGCACGCCCCTTGTTGACATGACAGGTGCGTAGGTTTCTTTGAGAAATAAGATCAAACATGTTGGGCATTAATCAGGTCTAGCTGGTGTAAACAAAAACCTTTGTAATAAGGTCAGTATTAAGTTCCCTGCTGGAAGGGCAGTCGGATAGACAGACGACGCGAGTTGCAAAGACATCCAAGCCCGTTGCCGACTCCTAGGCCATAGTTTCATATAATCGAACAGAGAACAGAGACCCTTCTTTATATAATGCCCTTCCTGCCCTGCGCCAAGAGGGCAACAACTCCGCTACCTAGACGACAGCACCCAAAGCACCCGAATGGCCAACAAATAGAATGCTCCCCGACGCGGTGCCGGGAACTACCATCGGACTTGACTTATAGTGGTAAATCCAGCCTACAAGGATGCCAGTATCATAGAGATGTAGTTCCGCGCATCAGCGGCGTGGATGATTGTCTTCGCGCCGCAGGTACACACATCACCGTCTCCCATAACAGCCACGCTCGTCGTCCCGACTGATCAACCATCTTTCATAAAATAGTGCATGCAGAAGACTCGCTCACACAGCAGCACAGTCACGACCGGACTCGGCAGCAGATTTTCTCCATCCAGCTGGGGTCTTCTCTCCCAGCATGGAAACTAGTCGTGACTGGTCGACCACATTCTTCTCGTGGCCTTGAAGCTGCAAGACGACAGCATGAATACTCTCCGTGGGGATCCATTATACGAGCAAGGATGAAGGAGGCCATATGACTCTGGATTGGGCGAGGGACACGTCAGCAACATATGCTAGACTTTGCCATCTCGACTGGTTGACTGCAAACGCTGGCCATCATTCTTCTATATGCGCAGAGGACGAACGGCACTCAAGCAGCCGGGCATCCTTCCTTGCGGGAAACGATAATGGCAAGCACGATATGTTATACGCAGGGCGTGCAAGAAATCATCTGTAGCTTGCTAGATAGGTGACTCGGGGCATAATCCTAGAGCGTGTCGGCCGGGACTCTCGCGCTCTCGCTCTTCAAAGGGGCGACACACAAGGCAGCAAATAAATACCCTATAGGAATATATCAAGAACACAATCCCAAGTCAGTGTCCTTGGAGTTTTGTGACTGTGTCTCATGTCATGGTACATACACTACTGCTTGTATTATGTCGTCGTCTTGCCGCCCGGTGCTCGGACACGGTAGCCGCGGCATCGCTGCCCTGTTATCGCGCCCTTGTTCAAATGGTTTGACAAAGATCATCTCGGTCCTTGCGAGCTACATACAGTCAGCATCTAGATCTGTGTGATGCTACCAAGGCAATAACTTCTCTACAACTCCAACAACCGTCTTCCCCCGTTCCCAGTCACGGGAAGAGGCGATGTTTCAGGCAGTCTGGTTGCCGAGGACTCGATAATACACTCATTGCGTGGACGTATCAGGCACTTGCCACGGATGAAGTATGAAGTACACAAGTAATATCTGCCAAATGTATTGGACATGCGAATTGGAAAGATGAGATGCAGCGGTGCGCAGTGAATGAGAATAACTCGCTCTCGCATCATCATCAGACGTGGCGGATGTTAATGATGTTGATAAACCAGGCCAAGGGCGACAATAGGCCTCAATCCAGGCAGCACTGCAGGGACTGAAACATTGAAGCTTTGGCACGCCATACTGACCCCGCAGCTGCCAGTACGCCATTTGGGAGGACAGCTCAAGTTCAAATTGTTTCATATTATCCTTTGCCGTGTCTAAATATATTTCTCACTATTTCGTCATTGTCCGGGACTACCCTGTACCACTTATCGAATTCCAAATCCCCATTGACGGGCTGGTAGCAATCCGAGAATCATCAAACAAACATGCCTGACCCCCAAAATAGCCATACATATCAAAATTACATCCTGCAGAAGTTCATGTTTGCCTGTCATATTGTGGAACGGTACACAGCATACGACCCTTGCTGGTGGCCCAAAATCGCATAATATCAGACCGAATTTTGTAAATACATAGTCTAATGGGGCAACCAACGAGTGGCCTCGCCTTGTTGTATGACCAACTCTCCGTACATGCGACCAACAAGCGCCAGCATAAAAAGCTAGAGTCCTGTGGAAAGAGTCAATTGTATGCAT